GGCGCCCATAAGGCCCCTCAATCTCACCATTCACACATTCATCAAATCCTTTCCCTTTGCAGTAGACCCTCCACAGCTGGCCACCCCTGCACTGCCCACCTCCTCAAGCTGACCTCTTTTTCACAGACCAGACATGCACCAGCTGTGCGTATCAGGACCAGGAGGCCTCGTTCCTTATGCTGACCACCTCCCTGTGTTGACCAGTTTGTTACAGTCCTAGGTGGTCAACTTATAGAGGTTCTACTGTAAATGCCTAAATTTATTACACACAACACAAATTCAGAAAGATTTTTTCCTAATTTTAAGAGAAGTCATGAACATTATTTTACTGGAAAACTCCAAAATCATCAAAAATTCATCAGAATATATTAAAATGCAAGATGACAGAAAACTGCCATGAAGAGATTACACAGAAATGGTTTCAGAAACTCTACTTTGTCTGTTAGTAAAGCCTTCCTTTACTAAAATTTCAAATATTATGGAAAAGTTGAAAGAATAATAAAACGGGCATCTCCACCCGCACTCGACTTTGCGAGCATCTTACCCAAACACTCTCGCCTGCCGGGTTCCCCATCTCTTCCTCTCCCCTCCCAGCCATCCCTGTCTATTCCCTGCTGATATAATCAAATGCAGTCGTAGTGTGCAGAAGAACAGACTAAGTAAATTGCACTGTACGGGGGAGACAGACTGTTACGGTCTTATAAATTCAGCTCCCATATCACCACCCATGAGCTCAAATAAGGCCAGGTTTTGTCCCAGATGAGATCCTGCCCATATTTGGGTTTTGAAGCTTTGGAATTAAGAAATATGGATAACGGCCTGGTGCCTGTAACACAGTGGTTACAGAGCCAGCCACATACACCAAGGCTGGTGGGTTCGAACCAGGCCCAGGCCTGCTAAACAACAATGACAACTGCAACAAAAAAATAGCCAGGCGTTGTGGCCGGTGCCTGTAGTCCCAGCTACTCAAGAAGCTGAGGCAAGAGGATCACTTAAGCCCAAGAGTTAGAGATTGCTGTGAGCTGTGGAGCCACAGCACTCTACCAAGGGCCACATAGTGAGACTGTCTCCATAAAATACATACATATGTATGTCATTCAGATGGTCATGTTATGTCACTACTCAGGACCATGTAGGGTTTTCCTTTTAATTAGCAACAAAAGTACAAGCCAATGTTCTTCAAAATAGCTTACAAGGAAAATTCTAGGGTGTACACCCTCTCGGGACCTTGCCTCTGTGACCCCACCTGCTGTGCTCCCTCCCTCACTCCACTCCAGTCGCACTGGTCTCCACGCTGCTCCTGGTCTCTCCAGGTACGTCCGACTGAGGGCCCAGCACTGGCTCGTCCCTCTGTCCAGCATGTCGGCCTGTATCTACACAACCCCCACCCCTCCATTATCATATTACAGTGAGGCCCGCACAGCCTGCTCTGCTGAGTCACACCTGTCTCCTGCAAAGAGCCTGACGCACTCGCTCTCTCTTTCCCTCCGTAATACACGCCCCTCACACATTCTAGATAATTTACTTATTTCATATTTCCATAGTCTGTCTGTTCTGTCCCTAAGACCTGGGGAAACTACTTAGTCCACAGTGTAAGTGCTCAACAACAATCGCCACTATTGAGATTTCTTCTTTTTTTTATTGAATGGTAACTATGTACATTAATGCACCTCTGGAGTACAGTGTGGGGTTTTCACACACAATCCGAAACACTTCCATTGAGATTTCTATGTCCCCTTCAACCCAAAGACCAAAGACTTGGTCTGAGCCAAGCTCTTCACATGTCTTAATCACGAGCACTTTTCAGTTTCTCACAGAAACATTAAATTTTAAACAGCCACGTTATACACTTATGCTTTTATTAAGACTCTTTCTTTGTGTAGAAGCGTAATTTTAAGACATATACAGATGTTTATGATACGATACCCAGAGAAGACGGTAAGGTCAGAAATTGTTTATACAGAATGACCCCTTCATCCAGGCCGGGCACAGTGCTCATGCCTGTAACCCCAGCACTCTGGGAGGCCAAGGCGGGTGGATAGCTTGAGCTCACGAGTTCAAGACCAGCCTGAGCAAAAAACAAGACCCTGTCTCTACCAAAAATAGAAAGAAAAAAAAAATCAAGATCCCTTCATCTACAAAGACAATAGTAAGTATTTGTGCATATCAGGGCTTTTTGGTACAATGACATCAGGTATTTTTAAGTTACCTCCTTCAGTATATCTGTGTTTTCTTTTTTCCAATAATAAATATGTATTGTTGTGTTATTAAGACAACATTCTTAGATAGTCAAAAAATAATTATTCTTCATAATAGCATTACTAGCTAAACTCTAACTCCTATTATGAAAAAAATGTAGTCCCTGGTAATACAGCCGTTTTATAAACGCCACACGGACGTGTGCTGTTAATGTAGGTCAACATGCTGTTTGATAGATCAGTAGGGTAATACAGTTCATAGTAATCTGTGTATTTCAAAATAACTAAAAGAAAATAATTGAAACGTTTCTAGTATAAAGAAGACAGATGTTTAAGGCGAGGGACATTCCAAGTGCACTGATTCGATCTTTACAAACTATGTGTATTAAATATCACATCTACCCCCAAATACGTCCATCCATTATGTATCAATAAAAAATATTTCATGCGCTTTAGCAGCCTATCTGAAGATGTTCATCTAATTCTTCTCCTTATACAAAGGGAGGATGGAGTCAATTCTTTTCATTATAAAGCGTTAACGCAGCACAAGTGTGGTAACCACCATCACCACATCCAGGCAGCTACGTGAACTCCACATAACCTGAGATACCGCCTCTGAAACACTCCTCTGAACGACAGTTTTTTCAGCAGGCTTTTATATTTGGGGCATAAAGTTATGGTTCAAACATTTCTTTCTTATATTCAAAATTCAGAGCTGTAAGTAGCACAAACATATGCAGCTTATTGCTGTTAAAAGTATTAACATCTATTTATTTCAATTGCTTCTTGTTTCAGAAAGTACTGAAAGTAACATCATGAATAAAATAGTCCTATAAAGCAGGAGGATTTAGGCAACTTGTGTTATTCTGTGCAACTTCCAGGTGACTATTTCAAATGAGTGAGCAAGAGGGCGTCTTTAAGACTATTTAATTCCAAATCTAAATTTATAAAGTAAGATACTTCCCATTTTTAGAAAAATTTGAAATCTTTGTTTAACTTACAAAAGCATATAAAATAGGGATACTTAACTTCTCCAAGAAAAATTTGATTATAATTACTTTCTTTGCAAACAAAAAAAATTCTTTTATTATCTGTAAAAGGAAATACAAATTGGCTTAGAAATACTTTCCCATGGTCTTAATCTAGCGAGAAAATATGAAATGTTCTAATGTTATATATATTTAATATCTTTTAAATACAATTTAAATTAGATTTTTCCAAACAAATTCATTTAGAATTGAAAAGGAGGAAATAGTTTCAAACTTATTTTAGAAGGCCAGCATTACTCATCCAAAGCCGGACAAAGACATTAGAAAAAAAGAAAATTACAGGCCAATATCCCTCATGAACATAGATGTAAACCTCCTCAGCAAACCACCTTCAAACACTCATTCAAAAGATCATTCATAGCCAGGCACAGGGGCTCACACCTGTAATCCCAGCACTCTGGGAGGCCGAGGCAGGAGGATCCCTTGAGCTCACGAGTTCAAGATCAGCCTGAGCAGGAGTGAGACCCCCATCTCTACTAAAAATAGAAAAACTAAGGCAGCGGCTATGGCTCAAAGGGATAGGGCACT